CTGTAGGTAGTCTAAAGGTCCTAAACTCTCTCAAATCACTCAATTTACATCTAGGCAACAGTATTTGTGCCATTATAATGTCATATAGTGCTTATAAGAAGAGAAAAATCTGAAACTTCCTTCTTGTTGCAGGGGTTGCTGCCATCAAATAATTAATTAATAGTTGTTGAGATGTCAGGCCACACCTCCAATTTGGGAGTAGCTGGAGTAGCTTGCATGCTGCTACTTCTGCAGGTAGTCTGGTAGATCTATACAAGCTAGCTGCTATCCCTCAGGAGTACACTTGTTTTATATATATATATATATATATATATATCCAATTTGCATGTTAAAGTTCTTTTAATTTTGATAATCAAACAGTTATAAGGGCGAGGACATGCACCGTAGGTGTCTCGTATTGTAAGGCTGCCTTAATAATTTACTTAGCAACACAGCATGTATGCATACAAACTGGAGGTATAAGTTTATCCATGAGGTTAGATATGATGCCTGTAAATGTGAATGACTGTCAGTAAAGTATAAAGTAGAAAAGAACTAGACAATAATTACAATGTTTACTTAGCAACACTGCAGTTTGCTTGTACATGTATGCATTACAACTGGAGGTTAATGAGATTACACATGTATAAGTTTATGCATGAGGTTAAAGGTACAGTACATGTGATTTATCAACTGCAGACTCATCATAATCTCCTCACAATGTAACTGTCTATACATGACCTTTCCAGCAAGGAAGTTATTTATGAATCTGAAATCAAGCAACTACTCAGTTTGTGATAGTAATAGTAAGAATTGGTGGTACATGTACATGTACATGCAATTTTGGAAAAATGCTCATGACTTGAAAGTATTTGTCGGAGATGTCTCAAACTTTCTACATAGCATAAAGTCATCAATATACATCAGAAAGTGTAATAAAAATTTGGGAGGAATTTTGGAGCCATTTTTTGAAAAAACCAAGGCCTTGCCGGGGTATTTTCACAATTTTGGCGTTTTCTTAAAATGGCTGTGACTTATTTCGTAACTATACTTTTTGGAAGGCAGATGAAGTAGCTGAAGTACATGTACATGTATATGGAGGCCAAAGAAGGTTAATATAATGCTTTTTGATAATAATTGTTCTCAGTAACAGCTTTATTGAGCCGTTTTAATAACATTAAAGGAAATGGGCATGGCTTAATAACTTATGGATAATAGAAATATCTTAATTTTTGGGCAATTATTGTATGATATTGTATCATTTCAAAGTTTTGCATATCATCAAGCACTATTAATTCTTTAATCTTTATATTAACAGTTTAAGACAGGGTTAAGCTAACCCATTCAAAAATTTTAAGTTATTGACATTGCACATTTGCCTTTGAATGTCTTCACATTGCAGGTCCCTCTCCTTTTATTCTCAGTTATTTGTAAAAGGTCTAATGGGTTGCCCTCTCTAAGTCATCCTATTCTTTGTTGTCGTTTACAGTTGACACTAGAACAATTGCAGCACGTGGAGTTAACTTCATTAACTGTTACTACTACTGATTGTCCTACATGTATATCCTTGCTTGTTTAGATTGTTTGAAATGTTTAATTGTTTATATTGATACATTTAGTTTAAGACAGGGCTAAGTTTATAAGTTAACCCATTCAAGAATTGTATACACAGGCAAGAATTTTACTTTGAATCATGAGTGATATCAATCAGGATCAGCCTTGATACATTCCTGTATCATGGATTTTTGGCAGCCTGCAAAGCAATAAGTCTAGTATGATACAATCATGATAATCATCTATCATACAGTCATGCTGGAGTGCGGCCCTGGTTCAGCCAGAGCAACAGACATGATTCAACATTGATGCCAGTTAGGGCTGTATCAAAATAGACATCAGGCTTGAATCATTGATTTTGGGTAGAGGCCTGTATCAGAGATGATATTTCTTGGTTGTGTAGATTATTCTATATATATATATATATGTACATGTATATGGATTAAGCAACTGTCTATAGTAATTCTTTTTATACTCACTTATTTGGAAAAGCCTATGGTGGATTGTCCTCTCTTCTCCTTCTCTTGTAATTAACAGTTGAAGCTGTACATGTACATGTATGTTTATACAGCAGTACAATGTAATTTCATTAACCTCATACAAGTACATGTACATACTATGATTTTTTATTATCATTATTTTCTATTAACTTTCGTAGGAAGAGAAGGAAAGGATCTGTGGGCTACTATTCTTCCCTCTACTGACAATAATCCTCAGACACTCATCAAAACTGCACAAAGAGAGGGACCTCCTCCCCTTACCCCCTCTGTCCCTCTCCCCCCTACTCCTGGGACTGCTCCACCCTTAATTCCGCCCAGTGACTCAGAATCCCCTAATACTGGTGAAAGAACTGGTCCTCCTTCACTATCAAAGAAATCTTCCCACGGGAATATTAAACTGAATACTATTATGGGGCGGCCCCTGGTATAAGGCTATTAATCCTCTTAATGTTACTGGTGATGATCAGTCTCCTGGTGGTGAGGTATCTCAACCTCCTTCTCTCTCTCTCTCCCTCTCCCTCTCTCCTGGTCCTAATGTACCAGCTCCTCTCCTGTTGCTCCTGTTTCTATTAATGCATGTATAGTTTTAGCCTTCAGGAGATGAGGGATTTATTGATGTGCTTTCTATTTGTCTTTGAAGATTTGAATATCAGTAAGCTCCAATAATGATAACTTATAATCACTGTTAGATCTAGATGGAGTTTAGGAGACTTTTATTCTCCCATATTTGGTCTAAGTCTCCAGAAATCTCTCATTTTTCAGCTTTTGGTATCTCATATTTAGCCCTAGGTGTCCTTAAGTCTCCAATTTTTTGCTAGATCGGTCCCTCAAAATTTATTTCTAGATTTAACAATGATTACTGTAATACTACATACATGTATTACATGTACATGTACATAATTTTGTATATTTCGAACAGTTTGATCTGTAACACAGTTTCCTTATGTATGTCTTAAATTTTGTTTATTTATTTATTTTGTTTATTTATTCTCTTCACTAGATGTTCTCATCCAGTGGTGGCAGGATTGTGTTGATGCTCCTGTTCCTTTATCAAGGACCTACTCTCTCCAATAGGGTCACCAGTGGGAGGGGCTGGGGGTGGAGCTTACAATGGTAGCAATGAAATATCAGCTTTCTTTGATGTCCTCGAGTAAGAAATAATAATAATAATAATAATAGTAATAATAGTAATAATAATAATAATAGTAATAATAGTAATAATGGTATTTATTTATTTATTTAGATCTTGTGCCCACATTTTTGAGTATATTGGAAGAATAGAAATGGTAAGCTATAGGGCTGGGATGAAGCTTCCAAAGGTTTAAAGTTACATGTAGTTTCCATTAATCATCAATCACACATGTGTATGTACATGTACATGGGTATTGCGATATTTTTTCAAATGGCTGTAACGCAGAAAGTTTTACTCGGAATCAGCTCAAACTTGCTACACAGCACAAGGATGTCAATATGTATTAGAAAATGTAATAAAAATTTGGGGTAATTTTGGAGCCATTTTTTGGAAAAAAACCATGTGCTATAGCCTTGGGTATTTTTTAGATTTTGGCTTATTTTTTAAATGGCCGTAACTCGAAAAATTGAAGTCAGAATTAGCTCAAACTTGCTATGTAGCATACGGACATAAATATGTATCAGAAAATGTAATAAAAATTTTTGGTGATTTTGGAGCCATTTTCTGGAAAAAACCATGTGTAATAGCCTTGGGTATTTTTCAAAAATTTGGCGTTTTCATAAAATGGCCGTAACTCAAAAAATTGAAGTCGGAATTAGCTCAAAATTTCTACACAGCATAAGGACATCAATATGTGTCATAAATTTAATGAAAATTTTTGGTGATTTCGGAGCCATTTTTTGAAAAAAACCATGTGCTATATATAGCCTTGGGTATTTTTTAGATTTTGGCTCATTTTTTAAATGGCCATAACTCGAAAAATTGAAGTCAGAATTAGCTCAAACTTGCTACGTAGCGTAAGGACATCAATATGTATCAGAGAATGTAATAAAAATTTGGGGTGATTTTGGAGCCATTTTTTGGAGAAAACCATGGGCCAAGAACACAAAAAATTAAAAAAAAAACAAGATGAAGTAGGATTCTGAACGACCAACGAAAATACGAAATGAAAATTTTACTCGTGACGCAAATTCTACTCTACATTGTACTTTTAATGTTATTATGTAAGAATTATGGATCACCTTGCAATGTAGAGTAGAATTTGCGTCACGAGTAGGATTTTCATTTCATATTTTCATTGGTTGTTTGGAATCCTACTTCATCTTGTTTTTTTTTAATTTTTTGTGTTCTTGTTTGCTTTGATTTTTTTATAATATTTTGTATTTTCATTGGTCGTTCGGAATCCTACTTCATTTTTTAAAATTTTTTACGTTATCAGTTGTTTGTGTTGATTTTTAAAATAATATTTATAGTATTTCTTAGTTGCAATTGTGATACTGT